GTCTCAAATGACCAACTCAGGCTCATACTCTAATCCCGTTATGGACACTGGAGATGAAGCATTCAGTTGGGAGGTGAGGACTGTTTGGAGTGTTTCGGGTGTTAGAGCTATCACTGTTACTCAACAGAGCTTAAGAAAAGTAACCAGGCAGTACTTGTTTCCTTGATGGCCGTCTGACCCCTTGTGGCCAATTGTAGGTATTGCGGCTTCTGGTAGGCACGATAGCAAGATTTTCAGGACACAAATAACTAACTTGTGAGATAAGAACTAACTCTATTTTAGAAGGGCTTATAATTTTTATAAGATTGTTAGAAAAATAGTACATGGAAGAAAGCAGAAAATAGATGACACTTCTTAACTAGGAATTCCAAGGGGAGCGAGAAAATAGAAGGGAACGAAATAATTTGAAAAAAGAATAAAAATTATCCCAAACTGAAGAAAGCTTAAAATACTGAGGATTAGGGACCAGCAGGTGTAAATGCACTCCCAGATGGCTGACTGCAGTTTGAGTCCCAGACCTGGTGGCTTGAGCGTGTGTGTGCACAAAATCCCAAGAGGAGAATGGAGGAGAAGGGATTTCTCACTTTCTCTCTTTCTGTCTCTCTGGCCAATGCCATGCTCTATGTAAAAACAAACAAACAAACAAAATTCCTAAGAATAGAATGAGGTGCAGAGTTTTAAACAGGATAGAAGGGGGAAAACTGGGTCCAGCAGGTTGCATCGTGGTTAAGGTATTGTACTCCCACGTGGTAGACTGTGGTTTGAGCCCCAGATCTAACAACTGGAAACTCACACAGGGCATGTGTGCATGCATGCCCAAAATCCCGAGTGGAGAATGGAGAAGAGATTGCAGCGTGTTCATCCAACACAGGAAGTAATTTCTTATTTTTTGTCTCTCTGTCTCTCCGGCATGCAAAAATCTCTTTCCTAAAGCAAACATTTCTTTTTAAAAAGAAAGAAACACTGAGTCACCTGGTGTTACGGTGGTTAAGGCAGCTGGATCCCGTATGGCCAAGTGCACAGCTCAAGTCCCAGACTCCGTGGGTTGAAAGGCATGCCGGACGCGTGCCCCAAAAACCCAAGAGGAGAAATGGAGAACAGATTGTTGCATGGCCATCCCCCATGGGGAGAGTACTTTCTCGCTTTCTTGTTCCCTCTCTCTCTCACTAAGAGCACATGTGGCTGCTAGCAAATTTTTTAAAAAGTAAAGGAAAAATGACAATTAGGCATAGTACATGACATTTAAGATGACAAAGGCGGTCAATCTTTAAAGTTTCCAGAAAAAAGAGATCAGCTATGGAGAAGACACAGGTTGACAAGAATCATCTCAAAAACAAACAAAAAATAACTACATGCAAAATGATAGTGACCTAATATTTTTTATATTGTTGAAGGAAAAGAGTTTTAAACCTACAATATTATTTTTAGTTCCAGTACCTTTTAATGAGACCGAGATAAAGATATTATGAGGCATAGAAGACTGCAGAAGGTTTACTACTCAAAGACTATCTGTTCTTCCGTTCTTTGATGAGAACAGCTAAAATCTAGTCTCTTGGCAGTTTTCAAGTACACAAGATAGTATTGGATATTGGAGGAAGTATCTGGCAAGATGAGAAATAAGTTCAGGAGAGTGCTATGTATTTTGAACCCATAAGAAGGATGTGTAATTGACTCAATGAAATTTCTTGCTATTTAAATAATAACCTAAAAGGAGTAGGCAATTAAAATTTCAGAATGTCGGAAAATCAGAATTTGTGATGGTGATAGAAGGGACATAGGAATGTTTTTGTTTGAGTGTTTTCTTTTAGTTTTTGCTATAGGGCATGTGCGTTCACCAAAGAAAGACAGAGAGAAAGAGAAGAAAGAAAGAAAGAAAGGAAGGAAGGAAGGAAGGAAGGAAGGAAGGAAGGAAAGAAGGAAGGAAGAGAAACTGACTCCTGTGGAGCGAGGGTTTGGGGTATGGCCATGCTGAAATCCCTCCTCTTTCATTCTCCTCTTGGTATTTTGGGCACACATGCACATGCACCAAGCATGATTTTCAAGCCACTAGGTCTGGGACTTGAACCATGAAATCAGCCATGTGGGATCCAGTCTACCTTAATCTCTATGCTGCTGGCCCCCCAAAATGAGAGTATTTTAAATGGTTGCAATTGATATATTCACAATATTATAAAGAAAAACAAAAAAATGCAAGTCTTAATAAGTTATGGGTAATCAACAAAATTGTTTTTAATTTTTATTATTTTTTGAGAGACTTTTGCAGAGTGTGTGTGCTAGCTGGAAAGACAGAGACAGAAAGCAAGAAATAATCTCTCAGGGAGAATGGCCATGCTGCAATCCCTTCTCTTCCATTCTGCTCTCGGGAATTTGGGCACGCATGCATATGTGCCTGGCATGAGTTTTAAACTGCCAAGTCTGGGACTTGAACCATGTTCTACTACGTGGGAGTCCAGCAATGTAACAACTATGCCATCTGCAGGTCCCAACAAAATTATTTTTTAATAGAACTTTCAAATGAGCAGAGATAAATTTTGCCTATTTAGTAGAAAGCAGAAAAGGGAGGATAAAAATATATGTATATGTATATATAGGAAAGATATAAAGGTATAGAAAGGATTAAAGTGGCAGAAATAAATTCCAGCAGGACAAATGGTTATACATGTAAGGGTGTTGAACTCACCAAGCAGAAGAATAAAAGATCTTACATTGGTAAAAGAATTAGATTCAGCAATATTTTGTCTATGGAAGACAGAGTTAAAAGTTATTTAAAAACTTGAAGAGATAGAAAATTATAAACTAGACAAATATGAATGAAAAGAAAGCTAGGAGGAGCAGCAGTGGCATGGTGGTTGGGGTACTGGACTCCCACATGGCCAACTGCAGTTCGAGTCCCAGACCTGGGGATTGAAAATCATACCAGACATGTGTGTATGCATGCCCGAAATTTAAAGAGGAGAATGGAGGAGAAGGGATTGTGGTGTGGCATCCCCCCTAGTGGGTAATTTCTCACGTTCTCTCTCACTATCTCTCAATTTTTTTTTTAAAAAAGAAAGGATAGCAATTTTAACATGACATAAAATCTAAATAAAGACAAAAAAGCATAAGAGACACAGGGAAATACTTCATAAAGAAAAAGAAACAGATCAGATGACAAAATAATTATAAAAACATTAGACTTAAAAGTATAACCTCAAAACAGTTAAGAATTGCAAATAATAAAGACAAATCAACATATCAACTAGTAAATCAGAAAGCTAAACTCTTATATATTGGGTTAAAATGAGATTTATCCCTCTTTGATTCTATACATCAAGTAGATGAAAAACAGCAAAATCTATAAAAATAATCATTTTACATGATGTATAATCTTAAATACATCAAAGAGGCTGAAGAGAATTAAAATACATAGAAAAACAATTAAGCAAATAAAATATTCAATGTTCAGACATACTAGGTCAGTGAGGAAGCTTCAGAAATAGAAGTCAATCTATTATCTAAGCTTAACCCTGTATAGTTTTAAATCTATACTACAGAAAACTAAAATATATGTCTGAAAAGAATTATAAGCTACCTAACAGCCCTTGGATGGAAGAGGACATTTTTTTCACAGAAATTAAAAATACTTTGAATGACAATAAATATCATTCATATTTAAATTTGTATGATATAGCTAAAGTAGTACCTTGTCCTAAATTCATAGCTTTAAATGTCTTTATTAGAAATAATATTGAAGGGGCCCAGGATGTGGTACGGTGGACTCCCACATGGCTGACCACGGTTTGAGTCCCAGACCTGGTGACTTGAAAATCACATGGAGTACACATGCATGAGTGCCCCAAATGCCGGGAGAAGAATGGAAGAGTAGGGACCCCGGGACAGCCATCCCTCCAAGGAGTCATTTCTCGTTTTCCCAACAATATGACATCATGTTTCACATTGTGTTTCAATTTTCTGTGTCTCTGCTTGACCCACCCTTCAGAGGAGGAAAAAACCTTGCCAAACAGATGTATCTTCACAATCCATACCGTATATTGGACAAGTGTACATTCATACCCCAAGACATATATCAAATAGTAGAGAGCTGGTTCCAATGGGTTGGGCAAACATGAGAAGAGGAATAAGGAATGAAGAGAAAAAAAATGAAATAAAAGAAGGGTCTCATACAGACTGATCTCTCTCCAGCAAGCACATGCAACCTATGGCAAAAAAATAAAAAATCAGGAAAGAAAATTGAGAAAAGAAAGCCAGATGAACCCCCCAGATAAGGCTAGAACTCATCAAAATAGAAAATAACAATCTAAAAACAATTCAAAAAAAGAAAAGACTAGCAATACCAAAAGTTGGCTTTAAAAGGACTAATAGGTAAAAAAGTAAGATGCAAATACACAGAATAAGGAAGAGATATGACTACAGCCACAACAGAGTATTTAAAAAAAAAGAATATTATGAAAGGAATAAGGAATGAAGAGAAAAAAAATGAAATAAAAGAAGGGTCTCATACAGACTGATCTCTCTCCAGCAAGCACATGCAACCTATGGCAAAAAAATAAAAAATCAGGAAAGAAAATTGAGAAAAGAAAGCCAGATGAACCCCCCAGATAAGGCTAGAACTCATCAAAATAGAAAATAACAATCTAAAAACAATTCAAAAAAAGAAAAGACTAGCAATACCAAAAGTTGGCTTTAAAAGGACTAATAGGTAAAAAAGTAAGATGCAAATACACAGAATAAGGAAGAGATATGACTACAGCCACAACAGAGTATTTAAAAAAAAAGAATATTATGAACTATATGACAATAACCAAAAACTTAGAATGAATAAATTTTTGGAAAAACAAAATATATCAAATTTGGCAAAATAATTGAATAAGCCAAGACGTTTTAAATATATTTAAATCATAACAAAAGATCCACCCCTCCCTTTCACCACAACCTCAAACTTGGTTTTACTAGAAAACACTAAAAAATTTCAAGGAACAAATATTTACCTTATGAAGGTGTTGCAGAAAACAGGAAAAGGAGAAAAAATTTAATTCACTTTATATGATGAGAATAACATGATTCAGCCATTGCAATCTTCTGTGGCTTATGATTTTAATACAAAATATTAATTAGTAAATCCAACAGTTTATTAAAACTAATACCACATGATAAAGTTAAGTAATGCAAGAATGGTTATGATATTGACAACTTTACTAATGTAATTTATCTCTATGAAGGGATAAAATAAAAAGTGGTGATACCAATAGGTGTAGGAAAAAAGTCACAAGTTTCAAAACATTTTGAAGAAAATTCTAAAGTAGCCTTAATAAAGACTATTGTCACATACATATGCTTAAATGGAGAAGATTTCTAAGCATTCACTATAATATTGAGAACAATACAAAAATTATAACTATCCTGACTACTGTTTAATGTATCTCAGAGCCCTGGCCAATGAAGTAAACACAAAAAAATAAATAAGCATAAGTATTGAAAAGAAAGAACAAAATGTGATTATTTACAGCTGACAAAATCATATATATAGAAAACACAACAGGATCCGCAGGCAAACTAGTACATCTGATGCGAGAGTAAATATTTTGCTATCATCAAAGTCTATTAGAAACGTAATAAAACATAAGATATCATTTACAACAACTGAAAATAATTAGAAATTAATATAATAGACCATACAAGACTTCTACAACTCCATTGGAGAGCAATACACATGACTTGAATGAATGCATGTAGCATGTTTATGCTCCGGGAAACATCACAAGAATATCAGTTCTTTCCTAATTACTTTATAAATTAATTGCCAGTTTATTTGAAATTTCAGTAAGGGATATCTAGCAACTTAACATATTTATTGTAAAGTGTATATGGAAGAATCAAGGACCGTGAACAGGAAAGTCATTTTCAAAAATAAAAGCTTGATCATAAGACACTACAAAGCCAAAGTATCAGAACCACGTGATGTATTATATGAGGAACCATAAGTCAGAGGGGAGGAAGATGAATTGATAAGCAGATTGAAATGAGAAAACTTGATCTATATATGCAGAAACAGAAAGTTGGTTTCTCACCTCTTGCCATATATAAAGGTGAAACCAGGATTCATCATTTATTCAACAGTTATTTACTTAGCCTCTACTCTATACGAAAGACTTTTCCTGGACACTGGGCATAAGTCAACAAAAAGGCTTGACAGCGTTAAAATCCCAGCTGCAGAGAGGAAACATATAAAGGAGGAACCATCTTCAGTAGGAACCACTCTTCAGCAGAAGAAAGTATGGAATTAGTTTTTCATGATGTTAGAGTGAGGAAGGACTTGGTAAACAAGAACCAAAAGTAGCAGAGGCCATAAGGAAACAAACAAACAAACAAAAAACCATGGGTTTGATTACACCATAATTAAACATGAGCACACTTTATCACCTGCCCAGATAGTGCAGAGAAACTCTCTCTCCATTTCATAAGGAGGCTTGTCCAAGGTGGTTTCTGGTAGTAGGGGATTGAATCCAGCCTACAGGTCTATCTCTAGAGGACTGGATGAGCAAAGTGTGGTGGGTGTACACTGTGGGATACCGTGCACCAATTCTGAGGTCCTAAATAAGATAGACACTCAACAATAAATAATAGAACCAATTAGTATTACATAAAAATAATACTAAGAACAGAACTGGAGTAATAGTACCATATCATGTACATAAAGGTCAAAGATGTCATATTGCAAATAGAGTCAGGTTGGTTTAGTCTGGCTCCCTCACCTCCTATCTTACCATGTTTGAAGGCCACAGGGTAAACAACTTATGTTATTACTTATACTGTGTTTTTGAGCTTGTTACATAATTATGACTTTGCTGGTTTATGCCATTGAATGCGATGCAGCCCCTTAAGAGAAAGGGGGCACCTGGTCAGCTAGCCCTGTTTAGCTATCTAGCTCTGCCCTGCTCTGTGCTGCTCTGCTCGGTGCTGTCCTGCCAGCTAGCCCTGTTTGATGCATAAATGGACTCACACAAAATCAAGGAGAAATTGTGTCCAAGGTGATATTTTGCAGGAAGATCAAGACTGGAAGAAGACAAGTTATGAAGGGAGGGAAAAGCGCGGCTGGGTGGAGAAGGATCAAGTCCTCCACCATGACCACGACCAGTACGGGCAGAAACAGAGAACGTGCTGGCTTGCTCAGGGAGGCAGAGACCCTGATCCCTCCCTGGTCTGTGGGCATTTTCATTGTCCTCAGATTGCCCAACTTTACCTGACACAGTCAGGAGACAGATGAGAGCAATGTGTATTGCCCCACCAAACCACTTGTTCTGTAAAAGAGGAAACAGATCTAGAGAAGGAAAGAGGTGTGGACAAAGTTTCAGAGTCACAGGCCTGGAACTCAGGTCTCCACACTTGTGCCTAAGTGGGCCTCCCAGCAATCCCAGCCTGCTCTTCTCTGTTCGAAGGTGTCCCTCCGCTCATTCAGAAGAAAGATGCCAAACACGATGTAGCCATAATGCCTTTAACAAGCCAAGGAGAAGAGCTTTCGGTGGTCCCATTCCAAGAAAGAAGTCTGAGGGGTGAAAAGGGGCTTTGAAGCTGCTCATGCGATCTGCCTGGGAGGTGGGAAACAGGCAGCCACTTCTCTGAAGCTGGTGGACAGAGCACCTTCAGTTACCCCGATCCAGAGAGTCCGCATTGTCCACTGGGGTTCGGTATTCCAGACCCACACCTGCAGGAGAAGCAGGTGGCCATGAGCTGTCACCCATCTCCTCTCTTTGTTGTGTCCAGTCTGTCTCCCTTCAAGGCAAGACATTCACATAGTCATCCTCACTGTTCTCTGTAGGGGAAAAAGGCAGAAGATAAATAATCAGGCTGCACTCCTAGAAGTCACATCAGTCAACCCCACTCACGCGAAAGAAGACCTCTGACCAGACACAGAGAGCCCGTGATGCCACATCAAAGTGGCATTTCAAAGGCTGAGGTGTCACAAGAAGCGCTCCTAGAAAACAGGCAGCTCTTGAGCCAAGCCTCCAAATTTCCAGCCCCTGGTGTCTCCATCCACCAGCAGACCACCCGTGCCTCCCTCAGCGGGAGAATGGCGAAGCTTGTTCTACAGAGACAGCAGGATGGGGAGCGAGACCGTGAGGCCGATGAGAAGATGAGACCTGTGGTAGCCGAGGATGTGGGCGCTCACGCTGCCGTTAGTGCCAAGCATGTACAGTGGGTGGTGTGAGACCGTCGCCTACTTCTGGAAAGATCTCTGAGAGGATCTTCTCTTAGGATTTGTGATTGTTTCTATCATGACTGAGACAAATACCACCGCCACTCCAGCAACTCATTTGGGTCTGCCTAAGGGCTGCAGCTAGATTTCCAGCTCTGCCACTACACACACACACACACACACACACACACACACACATGCACTCACTGGCGGAAAAGAGAGGGAAAGTGGAAAATCACCCCCCAACCCCGGGGTGTATGGTCACACCACAATCCCTTCTCCTCCATTCTCCTCTCAGGATTTTGGACATATGCCAGGTGTGATTTTTAAAGCCACTGGGTCCAAGACTCAAACCGTGGTCAGTTATGTAGGAATCCAGTACTTTTACCACCACGCTACATGCTGGCCCTAGCACATCTGTTCTTGTCACTGACACCTGCCCACTGATAACTACAATCCCTTTCACTGAGACTATAACCATCTTGAGAAAACAGGATTAAGCCAGAACTGTCTGAGTTAAATTTAACAACGCTGCCACGGACAGATACTAGATTCTCTTCTTAGAGCAGACTTCAAGGGCGGGGGTAAGCCAGAGTGGCTGCTTGTGATACGATGAGAGAAGTCTCAGCATGGATTTTCTGTGCTCAGATTTACTGATCATCTCTCATTTTCCACCATGGTTTGCTATCTTTTAAGGATGTATCTGAAATCATTTGTCACCTAACGCTTTGTAAGTGAATGCTTAGCAAATAATGCACAAAACATACCAGGCTATGAGGAGGGAGTTGAAGTGCTTTCTGCATTTGAAAACCTACCTATTTGCTCTTTTATTCCCAATCTTGAGTGGTTTGCACAAGGTCACAGCACGAATTCGAAGTCAGCTGTTTGCCTAGAAACCACTCATGTGCTCTGCACTGTCCAAGCACAGCTCTGCCTTGGCCACAGAGGCTGGAAGCCACCACCCCTCAACATATAGAAATTGCACACTGAAGCTCTTTAGATAATGTCATAGGAAAGGGCATTCCTCTGCATTGGTTCTACAAGTAGTCCATTGGAAGAAATGAGATTAAGGTTCTTTTTAAAGAGCTTTTACCATAAATGCTGTCCAACTCTAATTTTGAGCTTCTCCACATCAGGTAGGGGTTGGTCTTCTTTATTGGCTTTGAAAGTTGAACCACCAGCCCTTGATCTGGTTTCTCAAATTTGGAGATCAGTTCCTTTAGGTTTGGAAAGATCTGCTTGGGCACACCTTCCGTGGTCTGCAAAAGGACAAGACAGCAGATCGCTCACTCATCACTGTGCAGTTCTGTATGAAATGTGACACTTCTCAAAACCGTGGTTTTCAGGGCTGCCTCCTGAGCTGACAAACTGGAAACAAGCGACCAACAACTTGTGCTTAAAAGTTCACACCAAATACAATTCACGGAAATTTGTTTGAAGACCAGCCTCGACTTAGCCTGAGGTAAGAGGACTTATCATCGAGGCATCCCCAACTTGGGGTGCAGTATTGAGTGAGGCCTTGCTCTTGACGATTTGAGACAGTTCTTGTTGTATTAGGTTTTCCGGAAAGTCCTTATGTTTTTGCACACAAAAACATAGAAAAATATGTCCTGACTTTCCCGACAACCTAACAGATAATAAAAAGTCCTCGGAATGTTTATGGAAATGCATATTATGAGAAAACTATGCTTAGATTTCACTTTTTATTTGCACCAAAATAAACTCACACTTTGATTCCACTATTCCACTGTGAAGGGGACCCCTCTAAGAGCTTAGTCCCTTTCTGGCAGCCTTTGGTATTTTAGAGGACTAACAGAGGTGAACTTCTGATGGAAAAGGCCCGATGGGCAATGAAAGCACTTGATGAATTGATTCTCCATGTGGGGAACATAGGCCAACCAAAGTCCCGATTTCAGCCGAAAGTAAGAATATCAATATACCTCAAGCCATAAATAGTTGTTTTCTGTTAACCAGCTATAGACCAAGTGCTCTTATCGAATACAATCTTTTAGAAATACTTTAAAGCAAACAGAGTGTACTTCCTCTGCTTTTATGCATGTGGTTTTCTTGATCATCACTGAGGTTCTCATGGCCACCCTGTCAGGGTACAGAAAGGGTCAGGGGTCAGGAGATCTTCTGATGTGCAGTTTGGTTAGCCTCCGTAGTGAAGCTGCAGGCTGACACCGAGGTTGTCTGCAGGGCTGTCTATCAGTGCAGCCGCTTCAACCCCAGCTTCACGTAGGCAGGCCTGCTCCTGGGTGAAGTGGCTGAGCATCTGGGTTATGACTGACTTGATGCCTCTCTCTTCTGTCCAGATGAGACAAAACAGGCTATGGAGAAATTATCCACATTGCCCAAGGTACACAGCAAAAGGGATAAAAAGGCTTCAGATAAGTTAATGCTTGGAATATGTATTATTTTGAAATAATTTCAGATACGGCCATTTGCAAAACTGTAAGGCGCCCCTAAAAGACCTCTCCCCTCGTGGCACCAAAGATGGCACCTAGCGGAAGTCCTCGAGGCCTTACTTAAGTAAACAACTATACGGAAGTGGGCATAGCGATGACGTGGTATGCACATGATCACCACGGGCACAGTACATGCAACCAATCCTCAACCGAAGATTAGTTTCCGTGCACGTGGACAATGAACCGATTGGCTAGGGGCCCTCTATAAGGCCCCGGGGGTTGGGGAAAAGGGAGAGAAGATTGTAAGAAGCCTGGGGAAATAAAGCGTTCCGGAGAAGACCTTGTCAGCGTCGTCATTAAAGCGGCACAAAACTATTAAATAAAAACTTCTTGTGTATATCTTTCACCCACACCCTAAATGTTAGCATTTTATTATATTTGTTTTTTATTCTATCTTTCCAAATAAAGATTCCCATACGTGCATGTGTATGTGTGTGTGTATATATATATATATATGTATACATATATTCTTTTATTAAAAATTTTTATCATGGGATCAGCAGTTAGCATAATGGCTATGTTGCTGGACTCCCACATAGTCGACCGCGGTTCGCGTCCTGGACCTGGTGGCTTAAAACTCACGCCGGGCGCGTGTGCGTGCGTGCCCAAGATCCCGAGAGGGGAGTGGAAGAGAAGGGATTGCGGTGTGACCATCCCCCCCGGGGGGTGATTTCTCGCTTTCTGTCTCTCTGTTTCTCTCTCTGTCTGGTGAGCGCACGTGCCCTATAGCAAAAAAACCTCTCAAAAAAAAATTTTATCATCAATTTATTTTTCTACATTTTCCACAAACATTTACTTTACATATCAAAAAGATTTTTGCTCATACTCCATAGTTCTTGACAGTTAATAAACAACTTTCAAAATTTCCCCAAAACTGACTTTTAAAGATAACTTTCAAAATATTTGTTACAATTTTGCCTGTGACTCTGTAACAACAGAGACAGTATGGTTTTAAACATTTCTGAGAAAATGTTTACATGTCAACTACTCAAGCTGTTGAAAGGCAAACACCCAGCCCGTAATTCACACATGAATCTTCACAACTCAGTTCTGCCTACCGAGTACTCTGCGGCTTACCAGCTGTTAGCAAAGATCAGTTTCTTTTTCCTCCTTCAAAATCTTCCTCAAGGTAATCCTCTGGTTGTGGCTGCTCTTTTGCAATCTCTACTGAGTACAATGCTGGGCTGGGAAAATTCAGGTTATTTTATGGTACAAATTCTTTCATATGGCTTCTCTAATCCTCTCTGCCAGGCAGAACTGTTTATGGTGCCAGGCCATCTTTCCAAGAGCTTCTGTTGGCTTACTTGAGATCTACCTTAGTTCCATAGCTTTCTGGTCATATTTTCAGATATGACATTGCAGTCAAAGCCCTGGTGTTACTGAGTATTTCCAATTTCTCATGCAAGGCAACAGGTGTTATTGAACTTATGCAAATAACCTTTCTGCCACAAAATAAGAATACTCCCAAATATTTTTCAATTCCAGAAAGGTCAGGAAGGGAGAAAAGTTTATGTTTCAATTTAAACGAACAAGCAAAAAAATGTTTTAACAAATTGCTGAATCTATCAAGAACTCAAAAGAAAGCAAAATCCTTAAATCTGAAAAGTAAGGCATAGTAAAAAAATCAGTAATGTTTTAGTCAAAAGTCATAAAATTCTATTTCACCAATTCAGTCTCATGTAATCAATATCTCTTCTGTTGAATTTGCAGTGTTACTGGGGTCTGATCTTTCTGTTTATGAAAACAATTTAAGGGTTAAATTGCAAACATATCTCTTTAACCCTAAATAATTTAGTATGTTCTAAAAAGAACTACCTTTAATATAAATTATAACCACATGACAAAGATTAAAATCAGAAACTTAACTTTAATGCAATATTTTTTGCTCATCCTATTTAAATTTTGAATTTAGTCAATTGTGTCAATTGCTTTATTGATGTCTTCTGTAGCAAAAGAAAAACAATGCATGAAGGTACCTCAAAAAGTTCATAGAAAACAGATTAACATATGAGTGTATTTTGGTGCCAACATTTTTTTTTTGTTTTTTTTTTTTTGGAGAGGTTTTCGCTATAGGGTGTGTGCGCTCGCCAGACAGACAGAGAGAGACAGAGAGACAGAAAGCAAGAAATCATCCCCCAATGGGGATGGTCACGCCACAATCCCTTCTCCTCCATTCTCCTCTCGAGATCTTGGGCACACACGCACATGCACCCAGCATGAGTTCTAAGCCACCGGGTCCGGGACGCAAACCTTGGTCAACTACGTAGGAGTCCAGCAACATAGCCATTACGTTAACTGCTGGTTCCCGGTGCCAACATTTTTGAAATTCATGTATAGTTTATTCATAAGATGCTTTTTCCATGAACTTTTGAAGACCTCCTTGTATAAGGTGTTTGGAGATCATTTGTATTCTAGTCTCTTTTCGATACTCACAATAAACGTTGACATATTGAAGACTCTGAAGAATCTCATAGCCAGCTTAACCTCACACACAAGCGTTTCAGAAAGATTATTTCAGGATTCCATTGGTAATTAAAATTCAACGGCATGTATTATACTCTACATCTTAAGCCAGAGAACTAAATTCAAATGAAGCCAAAAAGGTTTTCTGCTTAGCACTCAGGGAATGAGAAAAATGAAGCAAATTCCCTAGGCTTCCAGCCACTTTGCCCTTCCCTTTACATTGTCATACTAATGCAGCACACATTGGTTCCCACGCCATCTTGCATCATCACTTAGTCTTCTCACTCAACCTTGGTTTTGTATGGAGTCCAGTCAGTTCCTTTGGCCTTGGAGGCACCAGAACTGAATAATAGCTGTGGAACCCAACTGTAGAACCTTCTAGTTTCCCACAGAAGAAGACCAGGTAAACCATTATTCTGGCTCCAAACTCTGAATGGCACTTCTGTTTTTGGAATGCCTTTACATGGTCACATCTCAGGTTTAAGAGATGGTTTCAAGATCTCCCCTCTCAGCTTTGTTGTCGTTGTTGCCGGACTCAGCTGTTCTTACCTGAATCTTGTAATAACCCTGTTTCTCTTTGAAGATTCGGTATGTGTAGACAAAATTTTTATACCTGTGGGAAGATAACTGTATGAGTCATAATGTTCTTATATCCAAGTAACAGCTACCATCAGGTTTATATGCCATATGTCTCTCAATCTTGCATCCCCCAAAGAAGCATATCATATTCAGGCCCTCTCCTCTGTGGGAATTTTAAAGAAATAGCAGTTTTGAAACGGGGACCCTTATTCATCTGACGGAAGTCTAGGTTCTAGTAGAAAAGAGTGAGGAGAGAAGATGTAAAACTTCCATGGTCATGGCATTTCTCTCTAGCTCCAAGCTGGTCCTACACACAAAACACTGTTGATCCAGGCCTGTGCTGTTTTTTTAAATGATTTGTCATTGGTTACATTATAGGTAGTACAACTAAAACAGAGAGAGTTAGGGATTTTGTCCAAGTAAGTGATGTGTTCTAGCTCCCCACTGAAAGAGGAGCCATTGGCCAAATAATCCAATCACAGTTTCAATAACAGACCCAAATCCAGCACTATTCTAAAAAGACATAACCCACATGAACATAGTCTTCTATTCCAAGATATTATCAATTGTAAGATATGTGATCAATTTAACAATAGCTTTCTGGGAGAAAAGTGCATGCATTCAATGTCTCCATCAACTGTTGGAATGTTTGGATTTCACAGAAATGTTAACATGTACAAAATGAAATTGAAAGAGACTGGCATGAGGTTCAAACTGATGGACGCCTCCTCACTGCACCCAAGCCAAAGGATCCAAGGACTGATCTTTGGACCGTGTTGGTAAATTAGGTGACTCCTTGTAGCTTTAAAGCACAGGGCCCCCTTTACAAGAGACTTCATACTTTTGGAAGCTGTGGTAATTGACTTTAAAACCCAATCCTTTGTGTAGGGCTCCCTAAGGCCAGAATAAGCCTCGAATCACATTGCAAGCAATAAAAAGAATGAGTTTTATATGGATTTTGTCCATGTGTGACAAGTTAAAGTATCCTGTGGCCCATAAAGAAGTCTTAAAAAGAAGTATGTTCAAACCAGAATCCAATCCAATCAAAGTCCATACGTTGTATTTGGTCGATCACTTTTTTTTTTTTAAACCTAACTCTTACATAACCTGTGTTAAATTCTTAAATAAATAAATTTATTTTTAATCACATTGTTGAGTTATTAGCCTAAGAACATCTTCACTAAAGGACCTTGAAAGAATAAAACAAATAGCAGTTCTATGTTAATAAGCAAAAATATTTATACACTTCAAGTTATAAAGACAGGCATTGTTCAAGGATGGTTTTAGTTTTTAAAAAGTATTTTGAATAAAATAAGCCACGTTGCAGTAATACTGTATGAAAAATTGATTTACTGAGCTTGGGATACCTATACATACTTATTTTTGGAATGTTTACCCAAAAAACACCATAAGAGATTATAAAGCAGTGAGATTAGTATCTACCGTTTGAATATTTGTGTTCCTTCCAAATTCATGCCAGAACTTAATCCCCATTTGATGATATTAAGAGGTAGGACCTTTGGAGAAGTGATTGAGTCATGAAGGATCTGCCCTCTTGAATGGGATTACTGCCCTTAGGGAAGAGGCTCAAGACCTGTGTGGGTTTTCTGTCCCTTCTTCCGTGTGAGGTAAAAGGACACATCTGCCTCCAGAGGAACAGCCACAAGGCTTCATCTTAGACGCCCTCACCAGGCGTGGAATCTACGTGCCTTGATCTGAGTCTTCCCAACCTCCTGAATTATGAGGAAGAAATCTCTATTATTGATAAATTACTCATTCTATTTTGTTTATAGAAGCAGGAACCAACTGAGACATGACTATGATGTTACTGAGTGCACATAAAAACTATTTTTTTAAAGGTTTTTGCTGTAGGGTGCATGCAGTGGCTGGAGAGACAGTGAGAGGGTAAGTGAGAAATCACCCCCTCCCCCCCAAAGGAGGGTAAGTGAGAGGGTAAGTGAGAAATCACCCCCTCCCCCCCAAAGGAGGATGGCCATGCCCCAATCCCATCTCTTCTCTTCTCCTCCTGGGATTTTGGGCACATATGCACATGTGCCCTGCATGAGCTTAAGCTACCGAATCCAGGGCTGAAACTACAGATGACCATATGAGAGTCCAGCACCTTAGCCACTATACTACCTTCTGGTCCCCCAGAACTTGTTTTTAATAGCCACTGATATATCTATTATCTTATAAACATCATTTGTAAAGCTATTAAAAAAAGAAGATTTTTTTTTTCCAGTGGACATTTATACTAAAAATGCATCAAAAGACTGTGCATCCTCCAGGCCTCCCCTCCCCTACTGATGGTGACAAAGGAGCCTCTCTAAACTCTACCGAGTGCCACTTGCACTCTCTCTGTCGTGGATTCTTTGTGTTAATCTCATTATGCCCTTTATTCCCATTTTCAGTCATTATAAGAACCTCAGTCTCACAAGTGATCCTTATCTGCTGCCTTCTAAACTCACAAGGTTCTGCACAGCCTCTGTTGTGTCCCCTTGTCTTTCTTCTTAAAACTTTATCTTTTTCCTGTTTTCACTGGAGACAGAGACATAAGGACAGCACTCTAACAGAGTCTCGATGCCATGGCCCATCCCCAGCTTCATCCAGCCCTTCCTTCCTAAAATCCTCCCACTGTGCCCTCTGGAACTCAAAGCCCACCATCATGAAAGTCTCCCATATCTTCAACCTGTTCTCAACCATCCTATCGCCTTTGGGATCTACAGGAAACCTGCCCTGCCCCTCCTCAGGATGCTGCCCCCCCAACCCCTCTAAAGAGGCTGCTTCGTTCTCCCACTACACTCTCACCATGGGCCTGGAGGTGAGGCCAGTGTTCTTGCTCTCACAGCTCCTTAGTAATGTTTCCTTCCTTCTCTGAGTCCTCAGCTTTGAATTTCCTGTCACTAGACTGAATCGCCTACTACCCCTCACTGCTGTGGACATCTCCTGACCCGTCAATTACAGCCACTCATTTCCCTTGCTCACTGTCACTATCTTTAATACAATTCTTGGCTAAAGTTTTGGTCATTTCTATTCACATTTGGATTATCCAGTTTTTCAGTTCTTTGAACTCCCCTCCTCCAGTGATCTTCCTCCACCTGCTTCAACCACTCATTCCCGTATTCCTAACTAAGACGGGCTATATAATTTGTGGGTCTCATGGCAAAATGAAAATGTAGGAACTCTTGTCAAAAAATTATTAGGGATTTTGAAATGGTGACAACAGAGCATTATACTGAGCATGGTCCCTATGAGTAACTGCATAAGCTGTGCACTGTGAAGCTAGCCCTGCTCAAGAGTTTAAACTTGTCATTGCCAATAATGTCAACCCTTCATAAGCTCATTTTCATGCATACCATTCTTTTGGAATCTCTATTATCTCACTTTCTCTTCCTCTAGGATGCTGATTCCCAATCCCATGAACCCAGAGACTCTCCAACCAATTGATTCTTCCAGTTTTCACAGTTCCTCAAAGACAGCTTCACTCAGTTTAGATTATTCGTGTGCCATTATGCTCATTCTCTTACATATTCCTTTCCCTCCTCTACCATCTTTCTCCTTTGTAGGGTGCATGCAGTGGCTGGAGAGACAGTGAGAGGGGAAGTGAGAAATCACCCCCTCCCCCCCAAAGGAGGGTAAGTGAGAGGGTAAGTGAGAAATCACCCCCTCCCCCCCAAAGGAGGATGGCCATGCCCCAATCCCATCTCTTCTCTTCTCCTCCTGGGATTTTGGGCACATATGCACATGTGCCCTGCATGAGCTTAAGCTACCGAATCCAGGGCTGAAACTACAGATGACCATATGAGAGTCCAGCACCTTAGCCACTATACTACCTTCTGGTCCCCCAGAACTTGTTTTTAATAGCCACTGATATATCTATTATCTTATAAACATCATTTGTAAAGCTATTAAAAAAAGAAGATTTTTTTTTTCCAGTGGACATTTATACTAAAAATGCATCAAAAGACTGTGCATCCTCCAGGCCTCCCCTCCCCTACTGATGGTGACAAAGGAGCCTCTCTAAACTCTACCGAGTGCCACTTGCACTCTCTCTGTCGTGGATTCTTTGTGTTAATCTCATTATGCCCTTTATTCCCATTTTCAGTCATTATAAGAACCTCAGTCTCACAAGTGATCCTTATCTGCTGCCTTCTAAACTCACAAGGTTCTGCACAGCCTCTGTTGTGTCCCCTTGTCTTTCTTCTTAAAACTTTATCTTTTTCCTGTTTTCACTGGAGACAGAGACATAAGGACAGCACTCTAACAGAGTCTCGATGCCATGGCCCATCCCCAGCTTCATCCAGCCCTTCCTTCCTAAAATCCTCCCACTGTGCCCTCTGGAACTCAAAGCCCACCATCATGAAAGTCTCCCATATCTTCAACCTGTTCTCAACCATCCTATCGCCTTTGGGATCTACAGGAAACCTGCCCTGCCCCTCCTCAGGATGCTGCCCCCCCAACCCCTCTAAAGAGGCTGCTTCGTTCTCCCACTACACTCTCACCATGGGCCTGGAGGTGAGGCCAGTGTTCTTGCTCTCACAGCTCCTTAGTAATGTTTCCTTCCTTCTCTGAGTCCTCAGCTTTGAATTTCCTGTCACTAGACTGAATCGCCTACTACCCCTCACTGCTGTGGACATCTCCTGACCCGTCAATTACAGCCACTCATTTCCCTTGCTCACTGTCACTATCTTTAATACAATTCTTGGCTAAAGTTTTGGTCATTTCTATTCACATTTGGATTATCCAGTTTTTCAGTTCTTTGAACTCCCCTCCTCCAGTGATCTTCCTCCACCTGCTTCAACCACTCATTCCCGTATTCCTAACTAAGACGGGCTATATAATTTGTGGGTCTCATGGCAAAATGAAAATGTAGGAACTCTTGTCAAAAAATTATTAGGGATTTTGAAATGGTGACAACAGAGCATTATACTGAGCATGGTCCCTATGAGTAACTGCATAAGCTGTGCACTGTGAAGCTAGCCCTGCTCAAGAGTTTAAACTTGTCATTGCCAATAATGTCAACCCTTCATAAGC